CCCATTCATGAGAGTCCCCCCCATGACCCAACATCATCCAGCAGGCCCCACCTCCAGCGCTGGAGATCACATTTCAACATGAGATTTGGAGGAGACAAACATCCCAGCCATATCAGCCCTTTTTAAAAATTTTTATTTTTTAGATTTTGAGACGGAGTCTTGCTGTGTCATCCAGGCTGGAGTGCAGGGGCACGATCTTAGCTCACTGCAATATCCCCTCCTGGGTTCAAGCAATTCTCTTGACTCAGCCTCCCAAGTAGCTGGAATTACAGGCATGTACTGTCACGCCCTGCTAATTTTTGTATTTTTAGTAGAGATGAGGTTTTGCCATGTTGACCAGGCTGATCTTGAACTCCTGACCTCAGATGATCTGCCCTCCTTAGCCTCTCAAAGTTCTGGGATTATAGGAGTGAGCCACCATGACTGGCTCAGCCCCCCCACCCTTTTTTTTTTTGAAATGGAGCCTCACTCTGTCACCAGGCTGGAATGCAATGGCACAATCTTGGCTCACTACAACCTCCACCTCCTGGGTTCAAGCAATTCTCCTGCCTTAGCCTCCTGAGTAGCTGGGATTATAGGCGCATGCCACCACACCCAGCTAATTTTTGTATTTTTAGTAGAGATGGGGCTTCACCATGTTGGCCAGGATGGTCTTGAACTCCTGACCTCAAGTAATCTGCCCGCCTCAGCCTCCCAAAGCGCTGGGATTACAGGTGTGAGCCACTGTGCCTGGCCTCAGCCCATTTTTAAACTGGGCTATTTGTCTTTCGTTATTGAATTGTAAGGGTTTTTTATCTATGCCAGCTAGAATTTGTTATCAGACATGACTGTCAGCTATTTTCTCCCATTCCATCCTCTGGTTGTCTTTTCACTTTTTTGATTGTGTTCTTTGAAATGCCTTTTTTTTTTTTTGGAGACAGAATCTTGCTCTGTTGCCCAGGCTGAAGTGCCATGATGCCATCTTGGCTCATTGCCAACTTGCCCGCTTAGACTCAAGCGATCCTCCTGCCTCAGCCTCCCAAAGTGCTGAGATTTCAGGTGTGAGCCACCATGCCTGACCCAAAATTTTAAATTCTGATGAAGCCCAGTCTACTGTTTCTTTTGTTGCTTGTGCTTTTGGTATCATATTTATGAAACTATCGCCTAATCCAAGGTCATGAAGATTTATGTCTATGTTCTTAAGAGCTTTTTTTTTTTTGAGACGGAGTTTCACTCTTGTTACCCAGGCTGGAGTGCAATGGTGCGACCTCGGCTCACCACAACCTCCGCCTCCTGGGTTCAGGCAATTCTCCTGTCTCAGCCTCCTGAGTAGCTGGGATTACAGGCACGTGCCACCGTGCCCAGCTAATTTTTGTATTTTTAGTAGAGACAGGGTTTCACCATGTTGACCAGGATGGTCTCGATTTCTTGACCTCATGATCCACCCACCTCGGCCTCCCAAAGTGCTGGGATTACAGACATGAGCCACCGCACCTGGCCTCTTAAGAGTTTTATAGTTTTAGCTCCAACATTTAGACTTTTCATCCATTTTGAGTTAATTTTTGTGTATGGTGTGAGGCAGGGGTCTGAACTCTTTCTTTTGCATGACTGTGTTTTCCCCATTCAACTCCGCTGTTAAATATGTTCAGATCTTGCAGGTGAACACAAATGTGAGGGTTTATTTCTGGACTTTCAGGACTCTTACTTATATTTCATTGATCTCTATGTCCTTACGCCAGTGCCACACTGTCCTGATTACTATAGCTTTGTAGTAGTTTTTGAAATTGGAAGTGTCACTCCAGCATTGCTCTTTTTTTTTCTTTTTGAGGAAGGGTCTTGCTGTGTCACCCAGGCTGGAGTGCAGTGGCATGTTCTTGGTTCACTGTAATCTCCACCTCCCAGGTTCAAGTGATCCTCCCACCTCAGCTTCATGAGTAGCTGGGACTACAGGTGCATGCCATCGTGCCCGGCTAATTTTTTATATTTTTTGTAGAGATGAGGTTTCACCATATCACCCAGGCTGGTCTCAAACTCCTGGACTCAAGTGATCTTCCCACATTGACCTCCCAAAGTGCTAGCATTACAGGCGTGAGCTACCACATACCCGGCCTACCACATGCCTGGCCCATTGTTACTATTTTTCAAGACTGTTTTGGCTTTTCTGAGTCCCATAAATTTCCATATGAATTTTAGGATCAGCTTGTCGATTTCTGTAAAGAACCAAGTTGGAATTTTGATGGAGGTTGTGTTGAATTTGAAGATCAATTTGGGGAGTCTTGCCATCTTAACAGTATTAGGTCTTTAGATCCATGAACATTATTAGTATTTTTCCATTTATTGATGTTATCTTTAATTCCTTTCAACAATTTTTGGTAATTTTCAGAGTATAAGTTTTGTACTTCTTTTGTTCCTCAGCCTTTTATTCTCTTTGATGCTAGTATACATTGAATTATTTTCATAGTTACATTTTTTTAATTCCTGGCAACTTTCATTTAACATAATCACATTTTTGAAGTGTTCATTGCAAATGTGTAGAAATGCAATTGATTTTTGTACATTGATCTTGTATCCTGCAACTTTGCCAAACCCATTTATTAGTTATAACATTTTTTTAGTTGATTCTTTAGGATTTATTTATTTATTTACTTTTGGAGACAGTCTCACTCCATCACCCAGGCTGGAGTGCAGTGATGCAATCTTGGCTCACTGCAACCTCTGCCCCCCAGGTTCAAGCAATTCTTGTGCCTCAGCCTCCCAAGTAGCTGGGGTTACAGGCACGTACCATCACACCTGGCTAATTTTTGTATTTTTAGTAAAGACAAGTTTTTGCCATGTTGGCCAGGCTGGTCTTGAACTCCTGACCTTAAGTGATTCACCTGACTTTGCCTCCCAAAGTGCTGAGATTATAGGCATGAGCCACTGTGCCCAACCAGGATTTTCTACGTATAAGATCGTGTCATCTGCAAATAGGGATAGTTTCACTTCTTTCTTTGCAACCTGGACGATTTTATTTTCTTGCCATTGTATCCAGTACAATGTTGAATACAAGTCGTGACATTGGACATCCTTGTCTTCTTCCTGTCTTGGGGAAAGCACCCAGTCTCTCACCATGAAGTATGATACCAGCTATAGGAACACTCTTCTTAGAACCTCCTGAAAGATTGGCTGGTTTACATCCTCAGTTCCAGCAGTGTACAAGCAAGAGGCCTAGTCCCCCGTCCCTTGCCAACACAGTGACCCCAGGCTTTAGAGGCAAAGAACCCAAGCCTGGGAGGGAAGTGCTGCGTGCCATGTCACACAGACAGCGACCTACAGCCCAGCTGTCCACGTGCACTGGGAGTGAGCCCTGGACATTCAGCCTCTCTTCCCTGGGGTGGGATGACTTGAGACCCCCTAAAAAAAGCATTGGTACAGAGGAACTTCTGGGTTCTATTCTTGTCTCAATCACTGCCTGGCTGTGCGGCTGTAGGCAAGTCACTTCCCCCTGGGCCTTGGTTTTCCCATCTGTATAGTGGAAAGAGTGGTCCACCTTGCAATCTTCCAACTCTGACAATCTCTGCCCCACCCACCCTTAAATTCACAGTGGCTTCAGCATCCACCACTGCCCAGAGAAGCCACCAGAGGGAGTTCCAGACCAGCATTTGGCCCAGCTTGGGTGCAGGGTGCCCTGGGGAGACTGAGAACAGGGCCTATTTTCCAGGAGCTGCTAGCTGTACTTGCATAGACTTCCTGTGGGCAGAGCTGCCCGCTCCTCTGGCTGAGCTCTGATCTCCAGGAAGGGAGTGATGGAGGCACCATCCCCAAGGCCAGTGACCTAGCCCTCACCCTGCTTGTTTTGGGTTGCCACCTGAGTCTCAGGGTTCGTAGCATTAGGGCCAGCAGTCTTGTGTCTCTCAGCCTTGGGAGGCTTCCGTTATCTCTGAGTGGGCCTCTCACTGGTGCTGCATCCTCTCTCCACCAAATTGCCCAGCAGCAGGAAGCCCCCCAAACTGGTGGTTGCCTGGCCACCTGGAAGGGGGACCTCACTGCCCTTTGGACGTGAATGCATTCATGCTGGGGGCCTGGACAGTGTAGTCTCAAAAACCACAGCATCTGGGACTCCTAGATACCTCCTGGATAGATCCCAGAACCATAGAAGCAGGCATCACAGACGTCAGGGACCACCCAGAACTTCCCAAAACACCAGAGGAGGCTCCATCGGCACCCCCATGACCCCCCACCCCCACCCGTGCTGATTTTACCCTTCAAATAAAATCAAAACCTTTGCTTTGAAAATTGAGCTCCAAGACACAGCAGCATCTCCCTACCATCCCAAGAGCCTCACCCCAGCTCCTTGCGTGGAGGGCTGCTGGGCCCCCTCCAATGCCAGGCGTATTTGCTTTTTTGCTTTTTTTGTTTTTGAGATGGAGTCTCCCTCTTGCCAGGCTGGAGTACAGTGGCTTGATCTCGGCTCACTGCAACCTCCACCTCCCAGGTTCTGCTCACCGCAACCTCCACCTCCCGGGTTCAAGCAACTCTCCTACCTCAGCCTCCCAAGTGGCTGGGATTACAGGTACGTGCCACCATGCCCAGCTCATTTGTGTATTTTTATTAGAGATGGGGTTTTACCACGTTGACCAGGATGGTCTCAATCTCTTGACCTCGTGATCTGCCCGCCTTGGCCTCCCAAAGTGCTGGGATTACAGGCGTGAGCCATCGCGCCCGGCCACATTTGCTTTGCATTCTAGTTATTTGTATGTGTGTTTTCTCTCCCCTTCCAGACTGGGGTCTCCTTGAAGGCAGAGTGAATCTCAGATTCATCTTGGTCCCTTCCAGGGGTCTTGTTCAGGACCCTGAATCCAGTAGATGCCCAATAAATGTCAACACAGGAATCCAGATCCCATCTTCTCCTCACTCAAGGGGTCTAGGGCTGCCTCTTTTCTTCCACCACGATGTGGCTTTGGGGAAGTCACTTAAGCTCTCTAATCCTCCTCCTCAGAGTGCCAGACTGCAGCTGCCACATGCAGAGGTAAGACTCAGACAGGCTGGGTGCCAGGCCACCCCCTAGCTCCCCAGACCTTTCAGATGGCAGTGGCTGGCATCAGATGCTGTGCTGGACACTTCAGCTTTGTCAACTCCCCCAGTCTTCTCAGGGACACTTTGAGGTGGGCGGCATTGCCATCTCTGGCCTTGCCAGTGGGGACACCCAGGCATGTGACAATGAGCTCCCTTGCCTGAGGTCACGCTGGTTGGCAAAGGTGTCTGAGCCTACAGCCCTGCTTTGAACCGACTCGGGGCAGGGATGAGCAGCTTCCGGAGTTTTCCTGTCAACCCTATAAGAATCTTCAAAGCTCAGAGATCATTTGCTCCAATTTTCTCTTTTCTTTTCTTGAGATTGAGTTTTGATCTTGTTGCCTAGGCTGGAGTGCAATGGCATGATCTCGGCTCACCGCAGCCTCCACCTCCTGGTTTCAAGTGATTCTCCTGCCTCAGCCTCCCGAGTAGCTGGGATTACAGGCACCCGCCATCATGCCCGGCTAATTTCGTATTTTTAGTAGAGATGGGGTTTCTCCATGTTGCTCAGGCTGGTCTTGAACTCCGAACCTCAGGTGATCTGCCCACCTTGGCCCCCCAAAGTACTGGGATTATAGGCGAGAGCCACCGAGCCCGGGATCTTTTTTTTTTTTAATGGGGTTTCCCTCTGTTGCTCACTTGGGAGTGTAGAGGGGCAGTCATGGCTCACTGCAGCCTCAACCTTCTGGGCTGAAGTGACCCTCCCACCTCAACCCCTTGAGTAGCTGGGAGGGACCACAGGCACAAGCCAACATACCCGGCTAAGTTTATTTGTTTTTTTGTTTTGTTTTGTAGAGATAGGGTCTTCTATGTTTCCTAGGCTTGTCCTGAACTCCCAGGCTCAAGTGATTCTCCTGCCTCAGCCTCCACAGGTGCCGGATTACAGGCATGAGCCACCTCACCTGGCCAGTTTTCCCTTAACAAAGAGTGGAATGCTGAGCTGGGAAAACGCGCTGTTCCTGTTCTGTCTTCTCTCACACCGGGGATGGCACTGGGGACTGCTGAGAAATTAGGGAAGACCTAAAGCCCCTTGTGAGTCTCAGGTATTAAGAGTCTATAATTCTTGGGGGCCATGTTCCCAACAGGCCACGCCAGTCTTGGCTGGACTCACTGCCCACTTCTGGGACCTTGGTGTGGGGCGGGAGGGAGGACCTCAAAGGCTCAGTGAGCGGGTCCACCCCCAGCCCAGCCGCCAGCGCCTCCTCCTCCGCAGCGCCCGGGCCCTTATCAGGAAAGGATTTGGGTTGGTGGGGAGGGGTGGGGGGAAGTTGGAGGCCCCAGGCTCGGCAAGGTGGGCCGGAGAGATAGGGAAGTGGGGAGGGGGCTGGGGGGCGGCTCTGCTGGGCGGGGGAGGGCAATGGGAGGGATGCCTAGAATGGGCACGGTGGGGGGCTTTGGCCAAGCTCTGTCCTTGCTGGCCTGGCCCTCGACATGGTTCCGGGACTTCTGCCTCCCATCCTTGCCAGGCAAGTTGCCTGCACCTTTAATTAGCAAGCAGCAGCCTCTCCCGATTCATCACCACGGTCGCTGTTTAATTAGCCGAGCCCAGGGCGCCCCCCCACCCCCAGCTCTGCCTGCCTGTCTCACCAAGGCCGCCACCACCTCACGGTGTCCCCTGTCACCACCCCCCATACTTACTCTGCTCCCCAGAATGGGGGATGGGCCAGGCACGCCCGGCTGAAACCTCAAGGAGATTCTGGGCACTGGTGCTTCTATGCAAGGCATCCAGCAAACATAATTAGAGCCGAGGCTGCGCCAGGCTGGCTCTGGGTAGAGCCCGGCCGGACGTGCAGGGCAGGCTCTGGTCCTGTCCAGCTGCTGGAGAATGGCTTCTCCCTTGGGAGGCGCTGAGACATCTCTCTGGCCTGGTCCCTGGGTGCTGGGAAAAGGCTGCAGTTCTCCTCTGTGTCACTCCTCCACAGCCGGAAAGGGACACCATAGCTTCCTCTTCCTCCCTGTTCCAGATCCCAGAAAGCTCCTCTGAGACCCCAGGAGAGGGGCCCGTCCTCTGCACCCGGCCCCCAGCAGCCAGATCCTCGAGGCTCAGTCTAAGCTGTGGGCCAAGGGAGGGTGTGGGGCGGGGGGGTCTCAGACCTGCTTTGTGCCTGCAGGGTCTGGGGAATCAGGAGCACAGGCGGGAGCCCGTGGTCTGGGGCCGAACCATCCCCCTTCTGTTTCCCTGAAGGGTGAGGCTGAGGACCCTCGGAACAGAGCCCCTGTGTCCTTCTGGGCAGGGCCAGGGTGGCCACTGGTCACTGTGGGCAGATCCCAGAAGCAGAGGATCAGGCTCCATCCCAAGCCTGTGCTCCTGCTGGACTGCAGGAGGTGTGGCCCTTCCGCTGTGCCATGGACTGAGAATGTGGAGGGACTGGCATTTGCTGTGTTACCATGTGGGGCCGTCAGTGTGTTGTGCTGGGCAGGAGCAGTCGCTGGAGCCTACCCACTCTGGTACTGCCGTCCCTGTGGCCTTGGGCCAGCCATCAAACCATACCATGCCCGAGTCTCCCCATGATTCTTAGCTGCTTCATGGGCTATTGTGGGGATTAAAAAGCTTACCGTGTGTTTGGATTTCTGGTTTTTTTTTTTTTTTTTTTTTTGAGATGAGTTCTCTGTTGCTCAGGCTGGAGTGCAGTGGTGTGATCACAGCTCACAGCAGCCTTGACCTCCCAGGCTCAAGCAGTCCTCCCATCTCAGCCTCCCTGGTAGCTGGGACTACAGGCATGTGCCCCCATGCCTGGCTTATTTTAAATTTTTTGTAGACATGGGGTCTCACTATGTTGTCCAGGCTGGGACTTGCCAATGTTTAAAGCACTTAGGAACAGTGTCTGGCAGGAGTCCTTGATAGTCATTGGCTGTTTTTGCTGTTTTTTCCCCTCCTTTATCCAATCAGCACTCCTTGCCAGGTGTGAGGAAATTGATGTCAGTGGGAGAGGCAACCTCCCTGCCTTTCAGAGTTTGCCTCCTCGTGGGGGAGGCAGCTGAGAACAATTGAGTAAGGAAGAACACGGTTTCATCGGAGTAAAGCCTGCGGCTCATCACGGTAATGTGCCAACGTCACTTTCTTGGTTTCGACCACTTACCATGGTTAGGTAATAGGCTGACATAAGAAAAAACTGGGTGAAGGGCCAACAGGAACTCCCTGTATGATCTTTGTGATTTTTCTGTTGCAAAATAATTTCTAAAATTATTTCCTAAAGAAAGTTTATTTAAAAAAAAAATACAGCAATTTCAGGCAATGGTTAATGCCATGAAGCAAATAATCAGGGGCAAGAGACAGAATAGGGAGCAGGGGCATTTCAGGAGGGGTAGCTGGGGAGGGCCTCTGAGGAGGCAAAGCTGAGCAGAACCTGAGTGATGGGAAGGGCGGGGCAGGGCAGGAGGAGGGAATGGCGAGTGCAAAAGCCTGGGGGCAGGATGGGCTCGGGCTGTGGAGGAAGCTGGGGAGCTCAGGCTCCAGATCCCACACCCGGGACTGCACTGGACTGGGAGAAGGAACCCCAACTCCGGAGCCAGCCAGACCCAGCTGTGCTGCCCACTGCTGCTTCACTATGTGGCCTTGTACAAGTAGCTGCCCCTCTCTGTGACCTGGATCTGCTGCCAGGGATGGAGAAAGAAATTCTGCTCCTCAGAGGGCAAAGAGGGTGGGAGAAGTGGGCAGGGGTTAGCTTGCCTAGGGTGCTGTAGGTGCCATCAAGGGATTGGGGTCTGGTGCCTCTGAACCTGGAAGGGTGGGGAAGGCGATGCCCACTGCTGTGTGTGGTGGTAGGGGGGCGCGGTCGGGGAGGAGCTGGAACCAACTTTCCTGCACCCCAGGCTCTATGCCTGAACCGGAGCAATCCCTCATCCTGAGCACTGTCTCTCTGTGTGGCCTTGGGCAAGTAGCTGCCCCTCTCTGTGACCTGGATCCGCTGCCAGGGATGGAGGAAAGAAAGCCTGCCTCTCAGATGACTTGAAGATGGGCGGTGTGGTGGGAAGGCTTGGAGGGCTTGGTGCTGGCACGTGGTTCTCTCTCCTCTCCAGTGTCTGCTTCTGAGGTTGGGCAGGAGGATGTGCAGCAGCACAGGGGAGGGGTCTCCCAGGAGAGGAGTGGGGGGCTGGGCCCCTGCCCTCAGCCACTCAGCCACTCTGTTTGCTGACCCAGAAATTCTGGGAAGTCTTAGTTTGGGAGAACATCCCCGGGGGCAGGTCATCAAGGAGAGGAATGGGGGTTTTGCAGAGGTTTGTGTGGTGGGTCCCCATCCCCTCCACACGCCCCTAGCCTGAGTGCTAGGATCCTGGAAGGTCAATGAGCTGGACAGGATGCTGGGCAGGAGGTTGTACCTGAGGGCAGCCGCAAATGACCACAGCCTTTGGACAAAGACTTAGGCATGGCCTGTGGCTTAGCATACCCAGAAAACGGATTTCTCTACCTACCTCCCCTGAACAGACGATCAGAATACTAGTGGCCGAAACAGCTGGATTCTCTAGGACATCGAGTGACAAGATCACATTAGCCCCCCCATCCAATTCCCCTCATATCTGAGGCCCTGAGAACCTGGCTTAGGAATGGGAAGGGGCCTGGATTGGGGTGAGGTATGGGGTGTGTGGTGGAGATCTCGATGCATCTGGGAGCATCGAGGCTGGGGAGCAAAACCCAAGCTTGGAGCTTGAATTCCAGCCCTGCTACCTCCCTGGACATGTTAATCTACCACCAAGAACCTCAGTTTCTCCCATCTGTGAAGTGGGATTATTATCAGAATTAATTGAGATCTCACCATACAGATGGAGCTTCTTACACAATGCATGACATAGCATTGGTGCTCAATAAATGTCACTCTCCTCCATCGACTAAGGGCCTAAGGAAGAATTCTGGCCCCTTGTCCTGTGTTCAAGAAGCCACTGTCTGGGAGATGTAATCTGGTTGCTGGATGTTAGATTTGCTGAGATGTTTACAGGGAGATGTGAGGGGCTACTTGAATGGGGAACTTTCCTAATTAATTAGGCTCAGGGTCACAGGGCCTCCTCTGCAGGTGCCCCCAGGGGACTCCTGATCGCCTGAGGTGGGGCTGGCATTCTTTTTGGCAACTCCTTTTTCTAGAAGGCTCCTTGAAGATACCACCTTCTGTCCCAACAACCTTCTGGGTGTTCTGTCTGGTCTTGGAGAGCCAGAGGCAGCTGCACAGGGCAGAAAGAGACCTGGGCCAGTCCTGGCAGGGCAGCCATGGACATGGGGTGTCCTTGGGGTGGCCTTCCCACTCTGACCCTCTCTGATCCCTGCGCAGGGCTGGCAGCACCCCTCAGGGCCATGAGGCCTTCACAGTGGTGAGTGTGAGAGGGTTTTAAAAACAGAAAGGTGCTTCTCCTAGGTGATGAAGATGATTTTTAGCAAATTTCCCCATCTTTTCTGTGATTCACGGAAGCTGCAAGATAGAAATGACCTTGACCATCAGTGTTTTCCAGGAGGGTGTTAAACTGACCTTGGGCAGGAAAGAGTGTTTGTCGTCAAATGAATTTGAGAAATAACAACGCGAACATCCACAGGGTCTTCACTGCAGGGTTTTGTTTTTTTTTTTTCTTGAGATGGAGTTTCGCTGTTGTTACCCAGACTGGAGTGCAATGGCACGATCTCGGCTCACCGCAACCTCTGCCTTCTGGGATCAAGCAATTCCCCTGCCTCAGCCTCCCAAGTAGCTGGGATTACAGGCATGCACCACCATGCCCAGCTAATTTTTGTATTTTTAGTAGAGACAGGGTTTCACCATGTTGACCAGGATGGTCTCGATCTCTTGACTTCGTGATCCACCCGCCTTGGCCTCCCAAAGTGCTGGGATTATAGGTGTGAGCCACCGCGCCCGGCCTCACTGCAGGGTTTTGAGAACCTTTCGTGTGTATGCACAGGCGTGTGTGTGCGTACGTGTGTGTGTGTGTGCGTGTGCAGTTCCAGGAAGTGGCTGGGTCTACATCAGCACCCAGGCCTATGTGACAATGGTGCCCTTTTTAATTTTCCTAGAGCATCCTGTGAGTTAGAAGTCTATGAAATCCACTGTGGGAAATGCCAGGATAGTCAAACACCTCCCCGTCCTCCACATAGCCCAGCTGGAAGAATCTGGGGGAACATGGGAAAATCTGGGGTCCAAAGAAGTCAAACAGATTCAGAAGGTGCTCTGGGCTTTATTTTAAGGCTGAGATTTTAACTGACATTTTACCTCTATTAACCCCTTTAATCTCCACAGCCACCCCATAAAGTAATCACGACTGTCATCTCCATCTTCCAAAGGGCAACTGAGGCACAGAGAGGCCAAGTGCTTGCCCAAGGTTCACAGCTAGAAAGGATAGGGTGGGACAGTAATCCCAGGCTGCCTGAGTCAGAGGCTGCCCTGGCACTCCCTGCCACCCCCAGCCTGTTTTTACCACGCAGGCTCTTGGAGCTGCCTCCACCAGCAGCCACATTCTCACATCGCCAGGCTGAGGTGCTCCTTCCTGCAGTGGCTGGTCTCAGGCATTCTCGGGAGAGTCACAGGGGATGGGGCCTGGGGATGCCCTGTGGATGAGCCCGCCTGTCTGTAGCCTCCCACTGGGAGCCTGGCCTCACTAAGACACAGCCTTAGGGTCTCATTTCATCCTCACTCTGGTTGTCCCCATTCTACAGGTGAGGCTGTGAGTGAACCGAGGCTCAGAGATGGGGAGTAACTTATCCATGGTCACACAGTAAGGAGATGATAGGACTGGGATTGAACCCAGGTAGTCAGAGCTGGGTGTTCAAGAGGCAGGTGCCCTTGGTGATGAAGCAGTGAGTTTCTGGGGCCAGAGGTGGGCAGGGACATACCCCACCAGGTCCTTGCCCACCTCTGACCAGATGCCTTAGATAGGCTTACAGCCCCTTAGATAGGCTCACAGGTTCCCCGCTAATCTCCCTGGCCTCTCCTTCCCAGCCTCAGACAGGCCAATAGTCAAACACGTAAAAACACGCCTGATAGATTACTGCCACCAAGGACGCGAGAGGCAGTTGCCTGGCGGCCTCTCGCCGAGCTGAGAGCTTATCTCTACCTCCTGGAGCTGGGCCTCAGCAGTTTCCTCCTCCTGGGGCACGGACTTCTTGGTCTGTGTGTGTTTTCTTCCCCTTTGGTTTACCCGTTCCTGGAGATACAGTTGTCTGCTGTCCATCCGTAGACATTCACTGGGCACTTTTTGTTGGCCAGACTCCAGCAGGACTTGCTCTTCCACCTGCCCAGAGCGGGGCCAAGTCTGCAGGAGCTTCAAGATGTCCCTGGAGGCGGGATGCATGCCATGGGGGTGTGTGCAGGGTCCACTGTCTGACAGTAAAGCAGGGGCCAGACCTGGCTCCAAATCCTACTTCCAGCAACTTAATAATAAAGACACAATCCAGCTTTGGTTGGGCACAGTGGCTCACAGCTGTTATCCCAGCACTCTGGGAGGCTGAGACAGGAGGATTGCTTGAGTTCAGGAGTTTGAGACCAGCCTGGGCAACATGGAGAGACCCTGTCTCTACAAAAAATACAAAAATTAGCTGGGTGTGGTGGTGTTTGCCTGGTGCCTGTAGTTTCAGCTACTCAGGAGGTTTGGGTGGGAGGATCACTTGAGCCTGGGAAGTGGAGGTTGCACTGAGCCGAGATACTACCACTGCACTCCTGCCTGGCAACACAGGGAGACACTGTGTCAACAAAAAAAATCTACATTTTTTTTGATAGGGAGTCTTGCTCTGTTGCCAGGGTTGCCAGGCAAGAGTGCAGTGGCACTGTCTTGGCTCACTGCAGCCTTTCCTCCTGGGTCCAAGCGAT